TATGAAGTCGTGCGTCGATCCCGAGTCAATAAGCATAATTGCCCGGCGGCCGTTGATCCTGCCCTCAACACGGAGAAGGTCATGCTCCAAAGGAAGCTCCGTGTCCTGTACTGCGATATCAACGTTGCTGACATGGGATTCCTGTTCGGCAACATCTTCCGAATCAGCTTGCAGCGTCGGTTCTTCCAGCTCTAGTACGCTGTAACGGTTGCGTATGTGAACCGGGTAACCATTGGGTGCTTTCCGCTTGGTTGCCAGCGAGCGCACGCCATTTTTCACTGGCGACCAGCGTTTGGGTGTTGATTGCTGGGACAATCCCGAGCTAGGTGACCTGGCTTCCGACAAGCGAAGCATCCACCCTGCCGACTCAGGTGACGCCTCTCCTCCGGTGTTAGCCTTTGGGGTCGTACGGGCTGACTTCGGTGCTGAATCGGGTTCGGCTGTTGGTCCGCCGTTTGCGCTGACCTGATCGCTTGGCTCAGATCAGTGGGGTGCTCTCGCAGCACCCGGGTCTTGACAGATGGGTGCAGTCCATTTACGAACAGCAGTCCTCGGGTCAGCTCGTCGATCTCAGGCACTTGTAGGCTTAGGCGCGAGAACTCGGTGACATAGCTCTCCAAGCTTGAGTGCTGCCTGACAGCGAAGAGATCCAGTCGCACCCGCTCTTGATGATGCAACGGACCGTACACCTTGGCGAGGGCTTCACGCAGCGCTGGCCACGTCGAGAACTCCACACCCGTATCCAACGATGCGATGAGCCATAGCTTGGCGTTGCCGCTCAGGAAGCCCGCTGCGTAATCCACCATCACCGATGAGTCGGTGTTTCCCAGTGACCGAATCGCCAGCTCAATGGAGAAAGCCCACTCCTTGAACTGCGAGGGCTTGCGATCGAAGATCGGCGGCTCCTTAGCGTGCCGAGGCTTCCCGGACGAATGAGCGGGCGGCACAGGGAGCGGTTGTTGTCGGTTGCTCAGACGGGCGCTGACTTGGCGACTGGCTTCACGGACCTCGCTGGCCAACCTGAATAGCAACACAGAAAAAACAAGGATCGCCACGACAATGGCGAGCTCCAAGAACACCATGTTAACCATCCTCCGCTACCAGTGTAACCGTTTGAAGGTATTCTTGGAAAAGACAATGCTTGCTCAAGGCAACACAACTGATATAGGGCACTTCGTGCCCTAAGGTGATAACGCGCGTGCTGACAGGATAGGGAAAGGTGCAAGATACAGAGCTAGAGGGCAGATAAGGTTAGCGCTAACAGGGAACTGTTACAGATCTAACACCACACGACACGACATTTTATTTATTTATTTATTTATTACGACATCTCATAGCACAGTGATAACACCGGCCAATACAAAGAGAGAGGGTGTTAGCCAACCACGGCAAAGAGGGAGAAGGGGAGGAGAAGAAAAAAGGAACCGCAATGATAACTAGTGATTGCAACAAGATGAGAAACACAAAATCAAAGTCAAGGCGCGACAAGGCTCTTAAAAAGGCGGAGGAAAGAAAGGTCCTTAGCTTCTTGGGGAAGTGTCAGCCACGCAAAGTACGCAGTGAAAAGGGCAAAGTGAAGTAAAAAGGTGGACTTGGGTTTCGGAAGGGAAAGGGAGTTTCTCGTGCTACGGGAAGAAAACCAGTTGAAACAGTGGAGGTGAGGTGGACACAGATTGAGTTTGAGAGAATGGATAAGGGTGACAAGATGTGAATTACGTCTCTTAGACAAAGGGGTAGTGTCAGCAAGGGCATAACGGGTGGAAGATGGGAGCATGCGGGGTTTTCGGAGGAGGATTTTTAGAACTTTTTTGTGCTGAATTTCGAGCTTGGCAGCACGGGTTGTGGAAATTCCAGCCCAAGCAGTATCTGCATAATCAAAAATGGGGCGTAGGTAAGCTGAGTAAAAGAGGAGTTTACAAGAGATTGGGAGATGGTAGCAGTGAGAAGAGAGGATTCCTAAAGATGAACTTGAACGTTTACATATGTAATCGATGTGGGGTTCCCATGAAAGATTAGAGTCAATGAAAATGCCAAGATGCTTATGGCTGGAGATTATGTCTATAGGCTGGGGGAAAGTGGGATGGAGGAGGGGCGGAACATCAGGCTGAGAAGGAAAGAGCATGATTTTAGTTTTAGACAGATTGGGCGATAACCGCCAAGACGACATCCAGGAAATTAGTCTTTGAATACCGTTAGCTTGGTAACTCATCAGGCCAGTGATGTTAGGAGATGCCCGTAGGAGCGTTATGTCGTTTGCGAATAGTGATGTGCCCGGAGCAGCTGCGGGCAGATCATTGACGTATAAAATAAAAAGAAGGGGCCCGAGGATGGAACCCTGGGGAACTCCGGATAGTACTGTTGTGTCGGCTGAGGACGTCCCATGTACCGTGACGTACTTCGTTCGCCCAGTTAGGTAAGATGTCAGCAATAGCAGGGGATTGCCGTCTACAGTAAATGATCCACGAAGCTTGGCCAAGAGCCCCCGGTATCGAAAGCCTGGGCAAGATCGAAAAAACAGATCCCGACTAGATCTCCAGCATCCCGATGTCGACACACTAATTGCACCAGGCGCGTCAGCTGGAGGGTGGTAGAATCGCCTCTGCGAAATCCGGACTGAGCTGAACTCAAACGTGACGAGACATGACAGTACAATGGGTCGTAGAAAACGCGTTCAAAGAGTTTGGAAACACAGGACAGTAGAGATATCGGACGGTAGTTTGATGCTTCGTGGCAGGACCCTTTCTTGTAGATCGGTATAACATTAGCTGTTTTCCATGCAGAGGGAAAACGACCAGTGCGGAATGATAGGTTCAGACATAAGGGGTATGCTATTGAGGGCGCAAGGGACTTTAATACCAGATTAGTGATGCTGTCTGGGCCTGGCGCCTTGTCAGACGGGAGCTTTCGAATGTAACGTCGGATGGCAGCAGTCGTAGTAAAGACAGATGTGAGGCGGTCAGCCTCACCCGACTCCTTGGCAATGGGGGGAATGGGTAGAGAAGGGTCATCAGGCACGGCCACTGAGGCGAACTGAGAGTTCAATGCAGTGGCTTTAGCTGAAAAGGTAGTAGCCTGCTGCGTAGAACTAAAGGTGAGTGTCAGGATGGCACGAGATACTTTATGATTTTTTAATTTGCTCACGAACTGAAACAGTGGTGGGCGTTTTTTGTCCTGCAGCGTAGCTTGTCTTGACCGAATGTATCCCCGGTATTTCGATCGAGTCAGACTCTTCACCAAGTTCCGTTGAGATCGATATACATGCATGTTAAGCTGGGTTGGGTATTTCTTACACACACTGTAGAAATCGTGCTTTGCCTTAATGGCTAAAGGAGGGGGGCATCAAGCCATCAACCCAAAGTGGCTGACCTAAATGTCGACATGAGGGAGAGAGTGGACGCCGGGAGAAGTACCCGAGGTGCTTCTCCATCGCCCTGCTAAGAAAAGAGTGGAAAGACGAAAGAGCGGCATCCACGTGCGAGCTGCGGAGGTGACATTTCCAGTGGACATCAGCAAGTTCAGCATTCAGGTCATCCCATACGCAACGTGGCACGAACTTGAAATTATAACCTGGGGGTGTAGGGGTAGATGTTGGGAGGAAGTGATGTTGTAGGGTTGGATTTTTGGACGTGACAGGGAGACGGACTCGACAGATGAGCTGCACGTGACATTACTGATGCTGCCCATATCCATGTTTGACGTGAAAAGAGCAAATCAGAGTATTGTTGCTTGGTTAAACTTTGACGACAAGTATGTCGATATTTTGTTGTACATCACGCACGTTTGTGTCTTTTTAGGACTTTTTTGATATTTTCTGTATTACCTATTCTGCGCTACCAAGCGTATAAGCACCTCATTCACTCGCAAACAGGAAAACAGGCTGATAATGATAATGAAAATATTCATTGTTAGAGGGAATAGAAAAGGGAAAAGTCTGAAGGAAAATCTACTGCCACTGCCGGGAATAATAATAATTTAACACAGGTGGAATCCTGATATTTAGATTATGGCGTAATTAGAACAAACTGCTCAATCAGAAGTTTCTCCTGCGACCGATTTCTGTCAATACGATTTCCAAATAACAATTTCTGGTAATTCCAACCTCGAACTGGGTATGTCCGGTCAATTAGAAGTCCCATCGAATCCACTTACATAGAAAATGGGTGGGATTTGTGCTGATAATTCTAAGTTAGCAAAGCATATTTAGATGTTCGCTTTTTTTTCTGCAAATCAGTTTCGTTTCCATGCGCAGGCAGTTAAGTGTCCACTAAACCTGCGTCTTAGATGCATAGTGCAAGTATGTGTGTCAATGCTGGCATTTTTGACATACTTAATGACAATAAGAATGTCCGGATAATTGGAAAATTTCCATAGCATGTTGGGGTTCGAATTATCAGGATTCCACCTGTATTACTAATAATTTCAAAGGATCAGTCGGGGAATTGAACTGCCTAAACATCTTTTACGAAATAGTGGTTGCGACTTTGGTGATGATTTTTTTATACATTTTATCTTGTACCCAGCTCGGGCTTGCGACTAGCTGGTTTGGAAGTGACAGTGTTGTGAATGACCGAGGGTCCTCAACGTCTGTTCTCATCGTCCAGGAGCGACACTGACTCGCGCTGCTTTCTGGTGTTCAGGAAGTGTTTGTCGAGCTGGAAACGGAGAGTTTTCTGTTAGTTTGTATCCCTGGTGATGTTTGTGGCTCGAGAGCACGAGCAAGAGCTTTCTTGCAGGTTTGCCGAGTCGAAGGTTCGACGGACTTCCCGTGTGCTCTGGATGGCAGTCGTGAGTCGTCAGTCAAGTGTCAAGTCAAGTCGGCGGAATGGCGTGAGCTCCAGTGTGGGAGCAAACCCATTCCCAAAAATCTTTTAGGCAGAAAAAAAAACAGTTCACATCCCCGATGGACCCTGTGAAATTTAAAATTCTCCCAATCCTTTAAAATACTTTCTTTCACTGCTCTGTGTACTAAAACGACACCACTTAACTTTTCTGTGTTCTAGACGTTTGGACGCGAATCAGCTCACTCAGCTACCAGAGAGATTATTTCGAACAACTAAAGCATTACAAATTCTGTGAGTCTGGCCTGTCACAATTATTATGATTGATTTGACCATTATGGCTTCTACAAATGAGAGTCCTCTGGCTCAGTAGAGTGCTCAACATTCGTTCCGAACGGTTCGAATAGAGCTATCTTACACAAGACGCAGAGCACCATGCATTGCTACCTTACACACGACGCAGAGCACCATGCATCATTCGTTGTTACTAATAACTTCATGCCCATAGGCAATCATCAGAAAACTAATACTGGATGAACAGCCAAGATCCAATTATATGCAGTAGTGTTACGGAGGCAGCGATTTGTGTAAGTAAGAGTGAGGAATTTCATACATGGGTTCAGCATGCCTAGCAAGAGTGATTTAGGTGACACCTTTGTATTTGCCAAGCAGGAACTTCGCAGCATGGCGACACTTCCACACAATATCTTTGGGCTTGTTGAGTGAGATTCTGCGGGCTGGTGCAAGGATGTGGTACTATGCAGAGGTTGCAGCGCTTTGACAGCCCAGGAAATCTCGTCAGTTCTATCCTGGCGCTTAAGGCCCCTCACATACCTAGCCTGCTGAGTGCTCCTATTGTTGAGTCCGAAGAAGGACAACTGACGACATCTTCTCCAGACATTACAACAGACAATGGGAACAAGTTATTGGGAACGACAATAATTATTATAGACGACGAGACAAGATACCAAGACGAACGAACTACTACGTTGAAGAGTGAGATTATTGAAGAGAGCGAGATTATTGGAGGGAACGAGTTGAAGAGAGAGCTCGACTGAGAAACAACGAAACAACGCAATATAAAGGGCATTGGTAGCTATGGCAAACATGGGTGCGCAAGTAGATACCCAGGCCAACGGAACGAAAGGTGAGTATGACTTAGTACGGGTGCATGTAAGCTTAGGAAAGGTTGTAGGTAAGATTGTACGGGAGGAGGCACCTAACACTATCATAGCCCTCATCTATAAGCACGGTCCTGTGGACCGATATCCCAGTGTATGTTCTCAAGGTTCTGCCCGACTTGATGCTTGCTACGTACACCATGTTGGTGGCCCTGCATGCACCATTCCGTGGGCATAGCACTGCAACACGGCAATTGCATGGTAAATTATCACGTTTCGGTTGTAGGACTTTCTTGTTGTGACCTTTTATTCTGGTTCCATACTCGGCATGCAGCTATAGCTCATGTTTACGGTATTGCGGTTAAAGAGCTTTCTCAATCTGGATCCATTGGGGAAGTGCTTCGATATCAGCGCGAGAAACTGTCCGGCGATGTCTGTTCTCACTTTCGCACGGTATGGAGGGTTGAACCATATGGCCCAGTATCTGCGGAAATGGACCTTAGGGTGATTTTTCACAAAATGACTTTTTCTGCTGTTGTCATCCAAGGTTGGTTGGTTGTGTTTATTTAAATTCGCAAACCGAACGGACTGAACATGTCCAATGACAAGGAAGCGAATGAAGTCCAAATAACCCAGGAATGGGGACAGAGATGAAAAGAAAATAATGGGAACAGAAGGTTCTCGGCAAAGGAAGAAGAGAAAGGAAGGAAAGAAAAAGAATAATGGAGAAGAAGAAGAAGAAGAAGAAGAAGAAGAAGAAGAAGAAGAAGAAGAAGAAGAAGAAGAAGAAGAAGAAGAAGAAGAAGAAGAAGAAGAAGAAGAAGAAGAAGAAGAAGAAGAAGAAGAAGAAGAAGAAGAAGAAGAAGAAGAAGAAGAAGAAGAAGAAGAAGAAGAAGAAGAAGAAGAAGAAGAAGAAGAAGAAGAAGAAGAAGAAGAAGAAGAAGAAGAAGAAGAAGAAGAAGAAGAAGAAGAAGAAGAAGAAGAAGAAGAAGAAGAAGAAGAAGAAGAAGAAGAAGAAGAAGAAGAAGAAGAAGAAGAAGAAGAAGAAGAAGAAGAAGAAGAAGAAGAAGAAGAAGAAGAAGAAGAAGAAGGAGAAGGAGAAGGAGAAGGAGAAGGAGAAGGAGAAGGAGAAGGAGCCACCTGGCACCGCAGTCAACTGCCGGGGCACTTCCATAGTCCCATCTGCTTACGCTCGGTACTTAGGAATACTGGTTGACGAACATCTGTCTTTCTCAACCCAAGTGGATGCAGTATGTGCAAATGTCAATAGGAAGGTTGGAGCATTTGTCCACGCAAAGCAGAATATCAGCATTTTTGGCAAACGACTTTTCTATTTATCGATCATTCAGTCCACATTTGAGTTTGGCAGCACTGCATATATTCATTGCTTATCACAAGCCCTATATGACAAGCTTCTTACTGCCAGCCGCGTAGCATTAAAGAGAATATTTTCGTTGGATAGAATGACTCCCACCACTCTTCTATACAGTCATACTAACTTGTACGCCCTTGAGAAACGCCTCAACTTCAAAACCTATGTATTTGTTTACCGCTGCCTGAATGGACTTGCTAGTCCTCTTCTGCGAGACCGCTTTACCTTGCGCGCCCATGGTGCTCGCACTGCAGCCACCACCCGTGGCCAAGTCTCTGCTGCTCTTGTTCTGCCCCCCGCTAACACCCGATATGGCTTTAGTGCAATTTCTTATTTGGGCGCTGCCAGGTGGAATACACTTCCACCGGCTTGCCGCATGTCTAGTTCACCAGCTGAATTTCGCTCATCCATCAAATTATACCTAGGGTTCCCTGTAAAAAGGCGCTGACGCCTGTTGGGAATTCCCTAGTAAAAGAAGAATAAATAATAATAATAATAATAAAGGAGAAGGAGAAGGAGAAGGAGAAGGAGAAGGAGAAGGAGAAGGAGAAGGAGAAGGAGAAGGAGAAGGAGAAGGAGAAGGAGAAGGAGAAGGAGAAGGAGAAGGAGAAGGAGAAGGAGAAAGAGAAAGAGAAGGAGAAGGAGAAGGAGAAGGAGAAGGAGAAGGAGAAGGAGATGGAGAAGGAGAAGGAGAAGAAAAATCGTGGTCACGGCGAGAAGAAAGCTTTTAGCAAAAAGACAAAGGAAAGGGTGAAGGAGAAAATGGGGAGACACATCGTGGTCACGGCCAAAGCCGGAGTAGCGGCAGGACACAGTAGACAAAACAACGCCAGGAACAAGCACGCATGAAGCATGGGCCATGCCGGCCCAGAAGCGGGAGACCCCGAAAGGAAGAGAGAAGAGAAGAGAAGAGAGAGAAATCGAAGCATTGCACATCTACATGTACGCCCACACATCCACACATCCACACACCCACACATCCACACATCCACACCTACACCCACAAACACACATACATACATGTACATGTACATACCCACACCTACGCACCAATACACACATACTTAGACACATACCCCCCCCCCCCACACACACACGCGTGCACACACACACACACACTGACACACACACAAACACACACACACACACATGTACATTGACAGCCACACATACAATTGCTTTGCAATGTTCTCAGTTCATAGAAGAAACGGGACTGCGATAGCACGGAATTGACGAGGAACAGAGATGGAGCGAATACTGCTTGGCAGGTTGTTCCAGCATAGCGCACCCTGGAAGGCGAATGTCCCCTTTCCAGAGTTGCTGCGGACGGGTGGCAGGCAGAGACCCATGCTGGAGTCCAGGCGCGTGGACCGGCCACAAGCTGGCAGTAAGAGAACCTGAAGCTCAGGACTTGCTTGGCCGTAACGGCAGCGCCATGCAAGGAATGCCAGCTTCTGCTTGTACACTTCGGTAACCCGATACAGTGAGAGGCGCTCCAGTAGGTCATGTGTGGATGTCCACGGCGGGCGTCCGAACACTACACGGGCACCACGGTTTTGCAGAACCTGTAGTCGATGACAGTGCCTGGCTGCCAGAGATATCGCCCATCCATAGGTATCTAGTGATCACATGGCAAAGTATTAGACCGAAAAAAGCAATATTGATGACACAGAATCTTCTGAAACAAGCATAGGTACTTATCAGGAAATACAACAATTTATCACAGTGTTTTCCACATCGGAATACAATGTGTTACAGTGAAATAAAATTTTAATAAAAAATAGACAGTGTAATAAATCATCCATCCAGTTTTTGTTGCAAAAAAGCTCTTGGGCAACATCTGGCATAGAGCATGGATGGCCTTGATCCTCGTCACTGCATACCAATGAAAATTGTTCGAACGCCATCCCACACAGAAGTGCAGAACAGGAGGGAACAGGAGGGAGGGTGGCTACAACTGCACCTGGAGTCCCAGTCTGTGCATGCCAAAGGGAATACGACACAGGCACAACATTCTAACACCCACACTTCATCTCATACACGATTTAGAGGTAGTCCATCACTGCTGCACAGCAATTTCGCGAGCAATGCTCTAACCAGCTGAGCTACAAAAATGATTTCCATCTACGGTGTTGGAAAATGTATCCTTCTCCTATCAATCAATACTTGGGTTGAATCAAACTGGCGAATTACGCCACTCTAAGGCTGCCAGTGTTGAGAAAAGAGCAGCATGACTCCGTCAGCCTGTTTTCATTCTTGTTTGTTCTTGTCTGTATTTCACCCGAGGGAAGGGCACGAAAGATTACTTGTGGGAAATGTCAGAAGTCAGTGTCGATGCCAATCGCTCGACAGGTTGGCACCAGTGTAAACCTTCTTGTCACTGCAGATCGTTGGATTGCCCGCATCAATTCTTTTAAACTCGATGAAAGTGTCAATCTCAAATGACTCGTCGCTGTGGCCGTCATGGTCTTACTTCTGTTTCCGATGCAAATCAACAAAATATTTCATCCTGCGTATGGAGCGCGAGGATGTTGTCTACTTCCGCTCCGCAGTACAGTAGGCTGTTCCCTCTATACATCGATGAAGATCTGTTTGAGAGACTCAGCACAATATGGAATACAAACTCAAACAAATACCGCTAGACTTGTTTGCAACAATGAATTGCATCCAGAATTGTTCATTGTCCAGTTGACTGAGCTCGGAGAACAAGAACAGCAACTGGCGTTGCAAAACACATTGTATTTGTTTTGCCGCGGAATTCAAATTGCGATTTTCTCGACTTTTCCAAAATATCTGTGGTCATGTTTTAGGGCGCTCTGGCTCACTTTAAGATCTACATATCCAGGCCAGAAAAGTATATTCGGAGTTTCGGCCGTTCATTCCTGTACCTGCTTCTGTATCTTCATCGAGATGTTTGAATGCGAATGAAGAGGGGAGTGGTGTTTAGGCATTAGCTAGTACTAGTGTAGGCTATTCAAGTCACAGAACAGTAAATGTATTTCTGTATCCCTACTCTCTTCAGGGATTTGTCAAACAATAGAATTCGGCGCTTACCTGTTGGACTGTTTCAAACCACGACGGCTTTGGTAGAGATGTAAGTGATCCAGGTCTCACTGTGAGAGTGTTCCACACAACCCTAGTCCCCCGTCTACACCCAGCCACACAGAAAAACCCACATACAAAACATCTTTGATGTCCGGATGTTCACTGACATCTCTCTTATCCAGGCAGTTGGGGGCGCTATCCAGTTTACAGCGACGTATGAACTGAGATAGGATGGATCTAACACCACACGACACGACATTTTATTTATTTATTTATTTATTACGACATCTCATAGCACAGTGATAACACCGGCCAATACAAAGAGAGAGGGTGTTAGCCAACCACGGCAAGGAAGGGAGAAGGGGAGGAGAAGAAAAAAGGAACCGGAATGATAAGTAGTGATTGCAACAAGATGAGAAACACAAAATCAAAGTCAAGGCGCGACAAGGCTCTTAAAAAGGCGGAGGGAAGAAAGGTCCTTAGCTTCTTGGGGAAGTGTCAGCCACGCAAAGTACGCAGTGAAAAGTGGAGAGTGAAGTAGAAAGGAGGACTTGTGTTTCGGAAGGGAAAGGGAGTTTCTCGTGCCACGGGAAGAAAATCAGTTGAAACAGTGGACGTGAGGTGGACACAGATTGAGTTTGAGAGAATGGATAAGGGTGACAAGATGTGAATTACGTCTCTTAGACAAAGGGGTAGTGTCAGCAAGGGCATAAAGGGTGGAAGATGGGAGCATGCGGGGTTTTCGGAGGAGGATTTTTAGAACTTTGTTGTGCTGAATTTCGAGCTTGGCAGCACGGGTTGTGGAAATTCCAGCCCAAGCAGTATCTGCATAATCAAAAAGGGGGCGTAGGTAAGCTGAGTAAAAGAGGAGTTTACAAGAGATTGGGAGATGGTAGCAGTGAGAAGAGAGGATTCCTAAAGATGAACTTGAACGTTTACATAATTATGTAATCGATGTGGGGTTCCCATGAAAGATTAGAGTCAATAAAAATGCCAAGATGCTTATGGCTGGAGACTATGTCTATAGGCTGGGGGAAAGTGGGATGGAGGAGGGGCGGAACATCAGGCTGAGAAGGAAAGAGCATGATTTTAGTTTTAGACAGATTGGGCGATAACCGCCAAGACGACATCCAGGAAATTAGTCTTTGAATACCGTTAGCTTGGTAACTCATCAGGCCAGTGATGTTAGGAGATGCCCGTAGGAGCGTTATGTCGTTTGCGAATAGTGATGTGCCCGGAGCAGCTGCGGGCAGATCGTTGACGTATAAAAGAAAAAAGAAGGGGGCCGAGGATGGAACCCTGGGGAACTCCGGATAGTACTGTTGTGTCGGCTGAGGCCGTCCCATGTACCGTGACGTACTGCGTTCACCCAGTTAGGTAAGATAACAGCAATAGCAGGGGATTGCCGTCTACAGAAAATGATCCACGAAGCTTGGCCAAGAGCCCTCGGTGCCAGACGGTATCGAAGGCCTTGGCAAGATCGAAAAAACAGATCCCGACTAGATCTCCAGCATCCCGATGTCGACACACTAATTGCACCAGGCGCGTCAGCTGGAGGGTGGTAGAATCGCCTCTGCGAAATCCGGACTGAGCTGAACTCAAACGTGACGAGACATGACAGTACAATTGGTCGTAGAAAACGCGCTCACAGAGTTTGGAAACACAGGACAGTAGAGATATCGGACGGTAGTTTGATGCTTCGTGGCGGGACCCTTTATTGTAGATCGGTATAACATTAGCTGTTTTCCATGCAGAGGGAAAACCACCAGTGCGGAATGATAGGTTCAGACATAAGGGGTATGCTATTGAGGGCGCAAGGGACTTCAATACCAGATTAGTGATGCCGTCTAGGCCTGGCGCCTTGTCAGACGGGAGCTTTCGAATGTAACGTCCGATGGCAGCAGTCGTAGTAAAGACAGATGTGAGGCGGTCAGCCTCACCCGACTCCTTGGCAATGGGGGGAATGGGTAGAGAAGGGTCATCAGGCACGGCCACTGAGGCGAACTGAGAGTTCAATGCAGTGGCTTTAGCTGAAGAGGTAGTAGCCTGCTGCGTAGAACTAATGGTGAGTGTCGGGATGGCACGAGATACTTTATGATTTTTTAATTTGCTCACGAACTGAAACAGTGGTGGGCGGTTTTTGACCTGCAGCGTAGCTTGTACGGACCGAATGTATCCCCGGTATTTCGATCGAGTCAGACTCTTCACCAAGTTCGATATACATGCATGATAATGCTATCAGTGAATGAAACCCACCTAAACAGCAGCATACTCAATCCCCATGCACCAGTCTTCTTACCTCGCATCTATCCTGCCCAACCCTGCTCAACAGCAGCCACGACCTTGTTCCCACTCAACCCCCATGCACCAGTCTTCATACCTTGCACCTATCGTGCCCAACCCCGCTCAACAGCAGCCACGACCGTGTTCCCACTCAATCCCCATGCACCAGTTTTCATGCCTCGCACCTATCGTGCCCAACCCCACTCAACGTTTGTAAGAGAACAACCTCCACCTGATACCACACCAGTAAACGCATCCCCCCACAACAATAACAATAATTCTTGCATTCGGATATGTACCCTGAACTGTCGTAGTATGAAACATAAATTGGCTGATATTACAGACCTCCTTGACCACCATAAAGTAGACATTTTGTGTATAACGGAAACCTGGCTAAACTCGTGTATCCCAGACGAGATCATTAAGATACCGGGTTACGACCTGTTCCGTCGTGACCGGTCCCAGTGCAGCACTACATGGAGCGACTTGGGTGGTGGTGGGGTAGCAGTCTTCTCTTCGTCCGCCCTTTGTGCTATGCGCCGCCGGGATCTAGAGTGCAACAATTCAGAGATGATAACTGTCGAAACAGGAGCTACAATCATTTCCTGTATGTACCGTCCTCCAAGACACGATAGTCTTGCATTCTGCAACTCATTCAGTCCTCTTCACCCCCTCGTTGACAACCGTCCAGTAATTGTCGTGGGAGACTTTAACTCCAAGAACAATGAGTGGAACAACGCAGACCCTACGAACACTGCAGGTAGACACATGCAGTCCGCCTTTGACGACTATGGCTTCACTATGGTCTCCAAGAACCATGGAACGAGGCCAACTAAAGATTCTAATCCGTCCCTAGACCTGATTTTAACTAATATGCCCCATCTTGTCACTTCATGTTACACATCCATGCCCATTGCAGACCACTGTCCTCTATTTTGCGCATATTCTCCACCAGAGAAACGCCACTCTAGAAGTACTGTCAACGCAGCCGCAGTCTCCAGAAAGATTGACATGCACCTCCTCAAGCAGAAACTGAGCACACTACCATTGGCCGAATGCATGCAGGGCACCAATGTGCACATCAGTTTCAGATGCATGGCCTACTCTGCACTGCTGGACCAGGCAATTCAGGCAGCAACGACCATCACACGCCGGAAAAACACCCAGTCGAACCAACCATGGTTCACAAAAAAACTTAAGACGCAACGTCAGCGAACTAACCGCCTCTATGTGCTCCACCGAAAGGAGCCACTCAACGATTCCTTACGAGCTGCATACAAACTCTCGCGCAACCTGTACCACCGGTCATTAAGAGCCGCCAAGGACACATACTTGTCAACGCTCGGATACACAATGCTTGGCAAGGAAAGAAAGGGTGGCTATGCGTGGTGGAAACGTGCCAAAGCAATATGCAATATTGACCAAACAAATAAAAAGGCAATTCCAGACCTGCAGAACGGCAATGAAATTCACAAAACAGATCAAGCGAAGGCCGAAACGCTGTGTACCTTCTTTGCCCGCCAATGCACCACTCAGTCAACGCCGCCAAATACTGTAGCAACTAGTATAACAATCAATGAAGCCGACGTCGATGGAAACAAATTTGGATTCGGAAACATACGCCCTGTTGAAGTCTTCGATGCAGCAAAGAGGCTGCAACAACATAAATCATCATCAGACATCAACCTGACAAACCGTATACTAAAGCAATTCGCAGACATCCTTTCCCAATCACTATCAGTATTGTTCAACTACAGCCTTGATGATGGTGTGTTCCCGTCCTCCTGGAAATCATCCACTGTAATACCGGTGTACAAGAATAGAGGGTGCGCCAAAGAGCCTACCAATTACAGACCTATATCCCTTCTCCCATGCATAGCGAAACTAATGGAAAAGATTCTCTCGGAACGTCTACTTCGATACTTGATGACCCATGGTGTAATTTGTAAAGGTCAATTCGCATATGTACGCAACAAGTCTGTAACGGACCAACTTATCTTGCTAACCCAATCAATGGCTGTAAATATTGATAGTGGCACAAATTTTGACCTGATATCTCTAGATTTCAGGAAAGCTTTCGACCGGGTCGACCACTCTATACTCCTAAAGAAATTCGGTAAGATTGCTACAGCTTCGTCAGTAAAATGGCTGAAGAGCTTCTTAGGGGATCGACAAATTGAAGTGAAGGTACATAGCACTAAATCGAAGAAGCGGAGCATCAACTGCGGAGTGCCTCAAGGTTCCCACCTTTCACCACTCCTATTCCTACTCTATATAAATGACCTGCCCAACGCTATGCAACATTGCACACAATATCTATTTGCAGATGATGTCACCCTCCTACTGGCTTACAAACCTGAAGACACCCTCGCCAGTAGAGCGAACATGCAGTCTGATCTCGACGCATGTCAAACATGGGGCAGGAACAATGGAGGTGAATTCTCAGCAAGCAAGACATCCGTGCTGTGCCATAGAGCTATCAATGATACACCACCTGCAGGAATCCAATACCAAATGTACAATGAGCCATTAACGGTGGTTTCTGAACTGCAACATCTTGGCATCACCTTGACCGACAACCTGGATTTCCGCAAACATGTCGCCTCAATAACTTCGAAGTTCAGATATCGAGTGCACCTACTGTCAATTATGTCCCAGCAACTTACGCCTTCGGCAATGATCATACTGTACAAAGGGTTCGTAAGACCTGTGATCGAATATAGCTGTACGGTGTGGTCGTTTGGATCTAATAAGAAACCCATGACCATTCTTGATCAATTACAGGCAAGGTTTGCTAGAGCTCTACTGAAAAAGAAAAAAATTGCATTTGATTACACTTCTTCCAAATCTGTCTTAAATTCTAAATGCTCCCTAGAGTCACTAGCCTATCGTCGTCAAATCATCAGTCTCACTACTTTTCACAGATATGTTTTCCATCATCGTGATTACCTTGCTGATTTCCATTTCAAGATTACGAATAGTGAGCGACGACCAAATAAAATCATTCTTCCCAAATTTAAATCATTGTCTAAGTCTCTCTTCATGTTCCGAACTGCTATTCTATGGAACTGTTTACCCCCCAGTCTAACATCGGAAGCCTCGCTCTATAAGTTCAAAGCTGCCCTCAGGAAATTTACAGCTGACTATGCTTATGCAATCAACGGAATTCCGCCACCTTGCAGTTGATTTTCCCCATTTCTCTCCTCATCAATCCCTACTTCTCTTTGTACATACATCTACATCTACTGTTCTTTCTCAAATGAACCCCTCGATAGGCACATTGCCTTTGGGTCATTTCATAATAATAATAAAATAATAATAACAATAAGCTGGGTTGGGTATTTCTTACACACACTGTAGAAATCGTGCTTTGCTTTAATGGCGGCACGGAGGGCGGCATCAACCCAAGGTGGCTGACCTAAACGTCGACATGAGGGGGAGAGTGGACGCCGGGAGAAGTACCCGAGGTGCTTCTCCATGGCCCTGCTAAGAATAGAGTGGAAAGACGAAAGAGCGGCATCCACGTGCGAGCTGCGGAGGTGACATTTCCAGTGGACATCAGCAAGATCAGCATTCAGGTCATCCCATACGGAACGTGGCACCAACTTTAAATTATAACCTGGGGGTGTAGGGGTAGATGTTGGGAGGTAGTGATGTTGTAGGGTTGGATTTTTGGACGTGACAGGGAGACGGACTCGACAGATGAGCTGCACGTGACATTACTGATGCTGTCCATATCCATGTTTGACGTGAAAAGAGCAAATCAGAGTATTGTTGCTTGGTTAAACTTTGACGACAAGTATGTCGATATTTTCTTGTACATCACGCACGTTTGGGTATTTCTTACACACACTGTAGAAATCGTGCTTTGCCTTAATGGCTAAAGGAGGGGGGCATCAACCCAAGGTGGCTGACCTAAATGTCGACATGAGGGAGAGAGTGGACGCCGGGAGAAGTACCCGAGGTGCTTCTCCATCGCCCTGCTAAGAAAAGAGTGGAAAGACGAAAGAGCGGCATCCACGTGCGAGCTGCGGAGGTGACATTTCCAGTGGACATCAGCAAGTTCAGCATTCAGGTCATCCCATACGCAACGTGGCACGAACTTGAAATTATAACCTGGGGGTGTAGGGGTAGATGTTGGGAGGAAGTGATGTTGTAGGGTTGGATTTTTGGACGTGACAGGGAGACGGACTCGACAGATGAGCTGCACGTGACATTACTGATGCTGTCCATATCCATGTTTGACGTGAAAAGAGCAAATCAGAGTATTGTTGCTTGGTTAAACTTTGACGACAAGTATGTCGATATTTTGTTGTACATCACGCACGTTTGTGTCTTTTTTGGACTTTTTTGATATTTTCTGTATTACCTATTCTGCGCTACCAAGCGTATAAGCACCTCATTCACTCGCAAACAGGAAAACAGGCTGATAATGATAATGAAAATATTCATTGTTAGAGGGAATAGAAAAGGGAAAAGTCTGAAGGAAAATCTACTGCCACTGCCGGGAATAATAATAATTTAACACAGGTGGAATCCTGATATTTAGATTATGGCGAAATTAGAACAAACTGCTCAATCAGAAGTTTCTCCTGCGACCGATTTCTGTCAATACGATTTCCAAATAACAATTTCTGGTAATTCCAACCTCGAACTGGGTATGTCCGGTCAATTAGAAGTCCCATCGAATCCACTTTAATACATAGAAAATGGGTGGGATTTGTGCTGATAATTCTAAGTTAGCAAAGCATATTTAGATGTTCGCTTTATTTTCTGCAAATCAGTTTCGTTTCCATGCGCAGGCAGTTAAGTGTCCACTTAACCTGCGTCTTAGATGCAAAGTGCAAGTATGTGTGTCAATGCTGGCATTTTTGACATACATAATGACAATAAGAATGTCCGGATAATTGGAAAATTTCCATAGCATGTTGGGGTTCGAATTATCAGGATTCCACCTGTATTACTAATAATTTCAAAGGATCAGTCGGGGAATTGAACTGCCTAAACATCTTTTACGAAATAGTGGTTGCGACTTTGGTGATGATTTTTTTATACATTTTATCTTGTACCCAGCGCGGGCTTGCGACTAGCTGGTTTGGAAGTGACAGTGTTGTGAATGACCGAGGGTCCTCAACGTCTGTTCTCATCGTCCAGGAGCGACACTGACTCGCGCTGCTTTCTGGTGTTCAGGAAGTGTTTGTCGAGCTGGAAACGGAGCGTTTTCTGTTAGTTTGTATCCCTGGTTATGTTTGTGGCTCGAGAGCACGAGCAAGAGCTTTCTTGCAGGTTTGCCGAGTCGAAGGTTCGATGGACTTCTCGTGTGCTCTGGATGGCAGTCGTGAGTCGTCAGTCAAGTGTCAAGTCAAGTCGGCGGAATGGCGTGAGCTCCAGTGTGGGAGAAAACCCCTTCCCAAAAATCTTTTAGGCAGAAAAAAAAACAGTTCACATCCCCGATGGACCCTGTGAAATTTTAAATTCTCCCAATCCTTTAAAACACTTTCTTTCACTGCTCTGTGTACTAAAACGACACCACTTAACTTTTCTGTGTTCTAGACGTTTGGACGCGAATCAGCTCACTCAGCTACCAGAGGGATTATTTCGAACAACTAAAGAATTACAAGATCTGTGAGTCTGGCCTGTCACAATTATTATGATTGATTTGAACATTATGGCTTCTACAAATGAGAGTCCTCTGGCTCAGTAGAGTGCTCAATATTCGTTCCGAACGGTTCGAATAGAGCTATCTTACACACGACGGAGAGCACCATGCATTGCTATCTTACACACGACGCAGAGCACCATGCATCATTCGTTGTTACTAATAACTTCATGCTCATAGGCAATCATCAGAAAACTAATACTGGATGAACATCCAAGATCCAATTATATGCAGTAGTGTTACGGTGGCAGCGATTTGTGTAAGTAAGAGTGAGGAATTTCATACATGGGTTCAGCATGCCTAGCAAGAGTGATTTAGGTGACACCTTTGTATTTGCCAAGCAGGAACTTCGCAGCATGGCGACACTTCCACACAATATCTTTGGGCTTGTTGAGTGAGATTCTGCGGGCTGGTGCAAGGATGTGGTACTATGCAGAGGTTGCAGCGCTTTGACAGCCCAGGAAATCTCGTCATTTCTATCCTGGCGCTTAAGGCCCCTCACATACCTAGCCTGCTAAGTGCTCCTATTGTTGAGTCCGAAGAAGGACAACTGACGACATCTTCTCCAGACATTACAACAGACAACGGGAACAAGTTATTGGGAACGACAATTATTATAGACGACGAGACAAGATACCAAGACAAACGAACGACCACGTTGAAGAGTGAGATTATTGAAGAGATCGAGATTATTGGAGAGAACGAGTTGAAGAGAGAGCTCGACTGAGAAACAACGAAACAAGGCAATATAAAGGGCCTTGGTAGCTATGGCAAACATGGGTGCGCAAGTAGATACCCAGGCCAACGGAACGAAAGGTGAGTATGACTTAGTACGGGTGCATGTAAGCTTAGGAAAGGTTGTAGGTAAGATTGTACGGGAGGAGGCACCTAACACTATCATAGCCCTCATCTATAAGCACGGTCCTGTGGACCGATATCCCAGTGTATGTTCTCAAGGTGCTGCCCGACTTGATGCTTGCTACGTACACCATGTTGGTGGCCCTGCATGCACCATTTAGTGGGCATAGCACTGCAACACGGCAATTGCATGGTAAATTATCACGTTTCGGTTGTAGGACTTTCTTGTTGTGACCTTTTATTCTGGTTCCAAACTCGGCATGCAGCTATAGCTCATGTTTACGGTATTGCGGTTAAAGAGCTTTCTCAATCTGGATCCATTGGGGAAGTGCTTCGATATCAGCGCGAGAAACTGTCCGGCGATGTCTGTTCTCACTTTCGCACTGTATGGAGGGTAGAACCATATGGCCCAGTATCTGCGGAAATGGACCTTAGGGTGATTTTTCACAAAATGACTTTTTCTGCTGTTGTCATCCATAGGTATCTAGTGATCACATGGCAAAGTATTAGACGGAAAAAAGCAATATTGATGACACAGAAGCTTCTGAAACAAGCATAGGTACTTATCAGGAAATACAACAATTTATCACAGTGTTTCCCACATCGGAATACGATGTGTTACAGTGAAATAAAATTTAATAAAAAATAGACAGTGTAATAAATCATCCATCCAGTTTTTGTTGCAAAAAAACTCTTGGGCAACCTCTGGCATAGAGCATGGATGGCCTTGATCCTCATCACTGCATACCAATGAAAATTGTTCGAACGCCATCCCACACAGAAGTGCAGAACAGGAGGGAACAGGAGGGAGGGTGGCTACAACTACACCTGGAGTCCCAGTCTGTGCATGCCAAAGGGAATACGACACAGGCACAACATTCTAACACCCACACTTCATCTCATACACGATTTAGAGGTAGTCCATCACTGCTGCACCTGTGTGAAATTTGAGCTCTGTGGGAGCTGGCTGCATGCACGTCAGTGCGCCATGATTCCAGCACTGAGCGCAGAGAGTTCGTAGCTCATAAATCAATGTTCAGCTCTTGCCCCGTCCAAGGGGTTTGGTGTTCACCACGGAGTCCAGTGTGGGAGCCTGGGAAAATTCAGATAATGTCACTAGCGGCAGCGCTCTTTAGTCCTGACTCGAATTGATCCAGGGCGTATCTGTTCGTCTACCTCTGTTGCCGTCGCCCCACGAGTTTCTCCTCGTTGAGTATTTCTCCTGAGCGGAGCTGTACTAAATTCAGTAGGGCCCTAAAAGGGTTTTTTAGATGTCAGATAAATAGGAATTGCCCGTCGACAACAACATCTTCTGGAAACTTTCGTCGTTCTCTATCAGATGCGACGATTCCGGCCTAGGAAATCCAATGAATTCTGGCAGAGCCGGGAGGCAGCTAGCTGGCCATCGTGAGTGAACTGTCCTGCTACTGGGACAATCAAAAGCATTTGTTGCGATAATCTAATTTCTTGTTTGAATGTGCAGAGCGCGAGGCAAGAGTTTTTTGCCGTTGCAGAAAATGACGTGTTCTGATAAAAATGATTTTCACCCGAAGGTCGATACTCGCTGATACTAGGCCATCACATTTCGCTTCCCCCCTTCCTTCTACACGGTTGTGTGTCTTCACCGCTCTAGGTTAAAGGTGTGGTGTGTCCGCCAGCAGCAAGCGCATTAGCATGTTCCGGCGGCACTTCCTGAAACTCCTTCTTGGAACTTGATATTGAAGGCAAATGGTTAGACTAAGTTCTCAAATACAACGACGCCCCCGTATGTGGGCAATCAATCTAACCATCCGCCACAGGTCCTGAAGAAAACGCTAGCGGGCATCAACAAGAGGTTGCCTTCAATATTAAGGTCCAAGAAGGAGTTTGAGGAAGCTTGCCGCAAGGCTGAAACGAACTGAACAACTATTCGAGAAAGATGACGTCTCTCGTTCAGCAGATGATGACAGCGACGCAGTGTCCCAAATGAGTCTAGTGAAAGCGACGCAAACTGAACTCTCTGCTCATTCCGCCAAGAGTTTCTATTGTAAAGACGCTCTACATAGGCTGAACTTCCTTTGTCCAGTGATTTGAAGTCGATACAAACTGTTCTTGACCTGTTCTAAGCGTTTTCATATCCATCTTAATCCTTCACCAAGTTTTGTTAATACCACAATAAATATTATCATGATTTCTACAAAAATGTTCGGTTAGCGTAGGAGTTAACCGTTTTTAACAGTCACGTACCATTGCTTCGCTGTTGGCCTATATAACGGGTTGCATAACCCTCCTTACGTGTGTGCACAATCTTGCTCTTCTACATACTGCTGTGTATCATAGACCACATGCCCCGCTCTGCGCATGCGCAGATTTCCTGTGCGCACAACAGAGCTTGCTGTCTTTCCAGTTTCCTTGCCTGCAGTCAGCTTTCAAATTCTGAACTCAAAAATTCTGATTTCTGATTTGAGTTTGCCTCCGTCCTGCTTCAGAGTGTCAGTCCTAGTTCTGCCGATTGGCTGCCGTCTTTAGTATTCGCTTTCCTTGTTCTCTCTCAGCTCAGTCCCGTCAGACTACGTGTCTTCAGCGGCCAGAGATTATTTGAGTATTATATTCTCACGATGGCTCGTTTCTCGACCAGACAAAAGACGCCATCGGCCAGAGTGGCAGCTCAGCCTTCGGATACAGGACGTAATGTGCGTGTGCGGTGAAATCCTGTTCGTCTTCAACCGCCCAGAACTCCAATACCTCCCCACTCGGATTCTGTTGTCTCCGACGTTGCGCCGTCAGTTTCTTCTGTCGCCGCCTTGAATGTGGCCTCTGATCCCGGGGCGGCAACGCAAACTTCGGCTGCAGGCAGTAATGCGCGTACGAGGCCAACTCATGTTCGTTGTCAACCAACCGGGACTCCATTATCTTCCTCCGCGGCCTCTGTTGTCTCCGACGTTGCGCCGTCAGTTTCTTCTGCCGCCGCCTTGAGTGTGGTCCCTGATGTACTTGCTTCGGCTGTTTCTCAGGCCGTCGGCCAGGTCCTCCAGCCCCTGATGGAGCGAGTAGAGCAGTTGGAATCTGCTGCAGCCGTCTTGCCGCCTGTCAACTCCAGCTCCGTTCATGCATTGGGCCATCCGCCGGCTGCTCGTCCGTTGCTCTCTGTACCTGATAAACTCCGCGGGCGAATTGAACGCGGCGAGTTTATTGATTTCGACGACCTCCTCCCAGACCAGCTGGGTGTGGAGCCCGATGTGGTCCAGCTAGCTGTGGGGTCTAACCGCTCTGTCCAACTTGTACAGAATCCAACTCAGGCCCAGCGCCGCCATGTCCACGATGTAGCGTCATGGCTCAAGGCGTTTACTGTCTACACGAGAGTAATTGTCGCGGCGGCTCCAGATAGGGCAAATGATTTGCTGGCATATCAGGCCACTATTCTGGATGCAAATAACTCGTATCATGTGGACGCATGGCTAAGTTATGACAGGCGTTTCCGGTGCGCCATAGCCTCCCAACCACTGTCGTATGACTGGGCTATCATCGACTCTAATTTGTGGCAGTCGTCATTCACCAGCCATGGTCGCCCGCCATGTTCGCGCTGTTCTCTGGTGCACCCAGTGGCCCAGGCCCGGTGTCCCTTTAGACCAGGGCCTCCATCCGACGGCGCTGGGAGTGGAGGCCCGCTGCAGTCCAGCGCGCCAACCCATCTTGGGAAGCCTATCTGCCGCAACTTCAACAGGGACCAGTGCAACAACTCATTCTGCTATCGTGCCCACGTGTGCCTTCATTGCCGCGGGAAGCACCCAGAAGTCAAATGTTGCAGGGGACAGTCCGCCACCTCAGCGTCTGCTCCGTAAACATTTTGTGGAGACCCCCATCAATGTTAGCCGATTAGCCGGGCTCCTTAACCGTCATTGTGATCACTCCTTCTCTCACTTTGTGTTGCATGGGTTGCGTCACGGTTTCACGATAGGCCATTCTGCCGCTATATCTGGTTGCGTTCTCAATTGCGAACTCGCCTCACTCCTGGGCCACCTCTCGTTCGCTTCCAGAGCAATTCCGGCCTCCCGTACATTCTTACGCCGCCTGTACGACCTCGACAAGGCCACATCTGAGATGTCATCTCACCGAATGCTGCACCTCT